GACTCTATGGAAGTCAATAAGAAATAGACGAGATAGGTGATATTTGTATTGTGTTTGCCGCTTAATAACTGTGGTGTTACCATATTATTTTTTAACTCCCACACGCATTATTGAGTAAAGATTTCTGATGTTCGCGGGTCTTAATTGGAGTCCAGTTGGACTTGCATCGGATTAAGTCTACTCAGCCACATTATCGACCATGGACATCGAGTTAATTAATTGATGTTAGAATAAAATTATTGGGGCATTTTGGCACGCTTGACGAGACGTATGGGTTACCATTAGGTATTATTATTACAAACGATAGTTTTGTTATTTATTAGTAATCGAAATCATTAAGGAAGAAAGAACTCTATTCTGGACTTAATATATACAGGGTTGTCAATGGGTATAGCGTAAAAAATAGTAGTAAAAAGAAATTGTAAACAGAGTTTGTGACATTTTTATGCAAGTTTGTAAAGTTCTGTAGCATTATTCGATTTCTTTTGACTTAAAAAAATTGTCTCTGTACACGTAGACATAAAAACAGAATGATTTCTGTGGTTACACCTCTGATTTTTTTGAAATTTTAGTATGCTCTGCAATTCACTATGTTCGTGTTGTCTTTTCCTACTCCCAGCCCAGTCTAATTTACCGAAAAATGTATTTATTTGATTACCTAGGATAATTAGGTGTCGGTATTGAGAAAAGGCAACACAAACGGAGTGAATTCTTTTAATATGAACTACAACAAAATCACATCTCCTAAAATTTCAAGAAAACGGGAGTGTGGCCCCCAATGTAAACAATCACCTACCAAAGCATGTCTATTTTTAAAAAATTTTTGAAAAATTTTAACGACTCAAATTAATTTTTTTTTGATATTTTTCAATTTTATTTTGTAAACATGAAGAGGTTTTTTATTTATTTACTAAGTTTTAATTTAATTTCTCTGCCCTCTCTTAATCTTCGTTAAATTAGTCTACATGTATCCATATTTTAATGATTGTCTGCTATTAAGGTATGTGTACCCTAATTAAGCTTTGTAATTGATATAATAATTACTAAATTAATTTTCTGATATAAAAGTTGAAATAGACCAGGTTAACATTTTATTTACTTCTTTTCTTACTGTAAACAATGCAGAAATAAACTGTTTATTAATGGTTAAAGATTTAAGAAAGATTCTTGTATAAAGCTATTCAGACTATTAATAAATTTTATCATTATGAGTACAAATTCTAATTAAAGGTTGCCTTTTAACTTTAACCTGAGTTACACATTTTTTTATTTAGTGTTAATTATTATGGGCATAATTTAAAGAAAAAAGAATAAGCAAAAATCGTATATTATAAAAAATACAAAGCACATTATTTAAACGTGACTAGATAATACTATTCCCCTAAACATTTTACAAAAATAATATCATTATATCTTATGAATATTTAGTAAAAATATTTACAAAATTTTCTGATACCAATTACTATGAATTATCATAAATTGTGTACTTTATATTCTAAGAAATTGTCGTGCTTATATATAAACACCTATGACAAAACAGTATAATTGAGCATTTGTGGTGGTTAAATAGTAAATATTAACAATCAATTACAGTAATTATGATACATACAAAAAATGTAATAAACAAATATAAAGATTAGTCATTATATTTCTGGTAGAGGTATTTTTTTATTTAAATTTGATGTACAAAAATAGCTTATGCCTGAAAGTAATTTTTTACAGTTAATTATAAGTTATTATTAATTAATTGAATTTCTTATAGTAGACTTAGAGCAGTGGTGTTTTGTGGGTTGCGCACATTGTACCTTACATTTTAATTTATTCTATTTAAAATTGTATACACAGTGTGTCCCATTCAAGATTGGCAGGCTAATTCAGGCAAATTAATATTATATATAAACAGAATTATTAATAAAATGCGTACAAACGTATAATTCCTGTTAAAGTTAAACTAAAATTTCGTTTAGTTAGTTAATAATGCATATAATAATAAAGAAATAAAAATTTAAATTTGAATATCGAATGTGTAATGAAGTAGATTGATGATATTTGTAAATAAAAAACCAATAAGTTTTAACTACACGTATTGATAATTGTCCAATGTTAAGTTATTAACTAATTTAAGGGGACGGATTAATAATGGTCAACAGGCGCTTAAAAATTTTTCTTTAAGTCCATATTTGTAACAGATTGGTGCGCTTTAACTGGTTTGTTCGGAGGAAAGATTAGGTCTTGACAATCTAATGGATGATTAGCGCGATCTGTCTTATGACATGGCGGATGTCATGTCACACTGTCACACCGCTTGGATTATCATAACTCGGACAAAAACCACGTACGCCTTCGAACTTCAAAACACAACAACTCGTTGCATTCTCCGGTCATTATTTTTCAAAGCGGCAAACATACGATTGCTCATTATGTAAAGTAATATAAATAAAAGAAGAACGTAAAAAATACGCCATCTTGATGTTACCTAGGATTAATGTACGTGTCCGCCATCTTGAAAAAAGCGCAAACGTACAAGGCAATACAATTTAATTAATGTTTTCGTTTCTTTTTATAAAGCATTCGCAGTTCCAAATATTTTGCGCTATTATACTGCTTAAATGTATATAAACAATAGGAAAATGAATTTTTGGTTTTCACAACTTTTAAATTAATTATATTT